TTATGTCTGGGTCATACTTATTGTTTTATACCCTCGGTCACACTGGACATTATAAGATAGACGCATAATTGAAGGACATACATAAAACCATTTTTAGAATATTGGTGACACTAGGTTCTAGTTTTGATATAGCTTCCATATATATGATCCTCTGAGTTTATTTAAATGTTCCATTAAAGACCATACGTTCATTCGATTGACCTGACATTCACTTGAATAGTCTTAAAGTTTATATATGTGGCACCCAACATCACCCATTACTGGCCCTCTCTTTCCAAACAACAAACATCAGTTTGCAACAAAGAATCGATGCGAACAGTAAAACCATGAAGAAGTGTTAAAACGCAGATATGAATATCTTTACAGAAATATCATTCACAACAACGTGCCGCCATGAAGAAAACCCAATAATAAAAAAACAACAACAGCAACAAGAAAAACACTGTAAAAATTGCCGCCAGATGTCCGTCGCAACCGCACACAAACACCATTTGCCGTCTTCAATTCTTTTTTTTTGCAAATAAAATTCCCAAAAAAAGAAAGACTCTGAGCGAAATGCATCACCGCAGCACTAAACGCTTAACGCATTTTTCACGCTTGACATTTGACTTGTAAAAGCGCATTCTCTTCATAGTCATGATAGTAGCGAGCGAATAGTCAATGGTGTTTTGTGTTTTTCTTCTAAAAAATCGATTTGTTTTTTTTATTTGTTGTGCCTGCACCGTGTAAACGTGCAACCAGAACGCATTTGGTGCGGATCACATGCCCCAAACCAAAGGTCTGTCACACTCAAAATATTGTAATTGAATGGTGGGGTTCTGTGTGTGCGCACCCAGACATAAATGAGAAGAAATAGAAAAAAATAAGACAGAGGTGGGGAGTAGAACTAAGGGGAAAATCACAATACCCTCTAAGAGGGAGTGAATATTAAATATGACAACACTCGAAAATTTCGTCGTAAATCCCTCAAAGTTTATATAGTTTTTGATCAGAATAATGAACCATGTACTTCGGGCCCTCCGTGAAAGCCCTCATAAAACAGTACCACTCAATATTCAGTAATTTGGAAAAAGTATAGCCATTTCTTCTATTGTAGTCGAGTATGGAATTTTCCTGTCCTCAACAGGGTATAAATCACGTTGGACCCATGTTTTAAAATGACATCCATGTAAAGGTCCTGCCTCATTTCCGGTATTTTGAAGGTTTTAACCGAGTTTTCCACTATAATTTGACATTCCGGATTGTTTGGATGGTGATAATTGCAGAAAATTGTCATAAGCTCCACCTTAAGGTCCCGCTCGGCATTTTTACGGTTTTAGCAGCATTCACCGACCCAATTGGTTATAGTTGAGCATTGGAAATTTTGAATGTAGGTCCATGTTTGACATATGCTCCATTAAAGGTACCACATCATTTTCGGTATAAGTTGTATTTCTCCATCGATTTGACTGTGAATGGGCATTCGGAGTTCTTGAAGGATGACAAATATCACCGGAGACAATTTTCAACATATGTAGGTCTATTTCCGAAATATGAAATCAGCTGGTTCGATATATTCCTGCTGGCATGTTTGTCAGAATGCAGTAGCGGAGGCAAACTGCCTAAAACTTAGTACCTGCTGTGGTACTTTGCGATGTAACACACCAAACCTGGTTCTGTCAACCTTAGAGTATTTTATAAAATATAGTTTAAACTTAAACCAGCACATCTTCCAGTCTATCTCTGTAAAGTCGCGGAATAAATTTCGATAATTCTCAAATAATAATGTGTTGATTTCAAATTGTCTCATTATTATATCTGCGGTGGAAGTTGAATATTATATGTGCAATGTCGAATTTTCGTCCACCTGGAATAGCGATGATGTTTATCTCAAGTATTGCTTCTGGAGCAGTCTTCTCTTATATTGCAGAATGTCTATGAATATGAGGTATATTCTACAAACTCCGTAAAAGTGTATCAATCATCTCAGAAATATCGGGTGTCTTAGAAGATTTAATGTCGTGAGGTCTGTCTAGGAAAGGAATTATAAAATGTAAGGTTACATAATTTATATAACTGAGCGATGACAGCATTGATGGCTATTGGATGATCTGAGGTCTCTACTTCATAATTGACATTTTTTCACTAATTTTGTATAGCTACAGGCGCACTAACCACTACCCGTGCACCTGCATATTTTCGGGTCTACAATTGTAACATGGTTGTAACCGATTTCTGTCCATAATTTACCATCATTGAATACTTTGTTCGACTACTAACCTAACAACTTCGAGAGCATTCCCTCTTCCTCTTAGGTCACAGAATAAGAAGCATCATGTTTTGGAATAAGTCCTCTTATCTACCTCACATTCTACCAGCTTTTTGGTCGATAAACTTTATACCACTCAACTTTTTCATGGTCTGGGAAATTCGGATGTTTCATACTTTATTATGACGGGTGGTTCGTCAACGGATGTGATGCCGTTACTCTAGAGTAAGACAAACGAAACTATGGACTGCCGAGCTGTCCATCTCACAATTAACCCACTCCGATACCAATGTTGCATATCTGTAGTTGGTCTATACACTTTCAGCGCCGAAGCATACCTTCGGGTCTGCCACTGTAACATCGTTGTATATGACAGTCTCTGCCCAAATTGTCCGGTACCAACATTGAGGATAATACAAGGCTGAAAGGCAGGTAATAATACCACCACAGGAAATAGCCAAAACTAAATAAGCAAGGTCCCAAACCACTGTCCTAAATTCATTGATTGTAATTTCTATGCAACACTAGATGGCGGACCCGGCAAGTTAAAGCAAACCGAAACAATAATCAAGTAAATTGGCGATGCTTTGTGAAAGTCCTATGCTTTTAGGAGAAGTAATAGAATAAAACCAAATATTATGGTGCATAATCAGCGATTAGGGCTAAAAACCGATAGGTCAAGCTTTGGAATCCCAGCTACGAAGAAAACATTCTTCAAAATGAGTTCATAATATAAAAAAGTACATCCTCATCCAGATGAATAGGTATATGTATCGGCATCAACATATCGCTCATTTGTTGCAAGACAGGCATAACTCAAAAAATCGATTTTGCAGAAAATGCGTTTTAAGTTTTCAATTTACTCACACTTTATAATGGAACAGAGGAACTTCTACAGCTTCTCAATTAGAGTGTTTAAGAGATATACATACGAATTTTTTTATACAGCATGGGGTCTATTATAGCGAACAATCGTGCATCATTAAGTCGAAAATCATGTTTTTTTGAGTTATGCCTGTCTTACAGCAAATGAGCGATATGAGGATAGGAAAATAGGAATGGCAGGAGGTAGTGCCACCCAGAGGAAACTGGAAACACTAAATAAGCAAGGAAACATGGACCATGTAGGAAAATATAACGGTCCCATCAGATTTGACATATTTTGAAGATTTTAGCTACATTTTCCAACATATTTGATTGAACTTTGATATTTTGAGTTCTCCGTGGGCAAGACAGCACCAAACTAAAAATGTTCAATATCGGTCCACGTTTTCGTATAGTGTTAATATAAAGGTACCACCCGAATATAGGCATTTTGATAGTTATAGCCACATTTTCCAAAATATGTTACTGTAATTTGGTACACTCAAAAAAAAAAAAAAAAAAATAAAAATAATAAATAAAAGTCAGACCAAAATTATGGATACTTCACGAATCAAATAGAAAAAGCATTTTCGACTCTCAATAATTAACACTGCGTCGTTATGATACACAAATAAAATAATTTATTTAATACTTCAAAAATCAATGAAAAAATATTATTATACAAATATATATAATACATGTATTAATTTTCACATTTATTCCAACAAATCCAACAAATCAAAAACTGATTTCGACAAAGTACTTTTTTTGCAGCATGGTATTTTTCTCTGACCAGTTATATATGGGTCTGAACTTAGGAGTAATCGATTTAGTAAATCAGTATTCGTTGCCACGCGGGTAGTTTTTCTTGTATGATGGAGTCTGAATCGTTTTATATCTTTATTTTTAGCTTCAGCAGCTTCTTCTGAAAGCTCTCCAATCGATACTAATGCGTGGTTAATGACATCAGAACCGTGTACTAAAACTTTATGTACAGAGGGCGGAAGATAGTACCAGGGATAAGTCTCTATCAGTCTCTTTGCAGTTTCGAGTGCGTAGTCGTTAAATTTTACCGGATTAATTTTGTATCCTGATGACATCGCTTGCAATAATGTTGCACATCGAACTATTAGGTCTTTATCAAGACCCGTTATTTCAGCTACCAAATCCGGATTATTGAAAAATCGTCGCGCGGTGTTTCCATCATTTGACGTCCCACTACCACCAGATCTCGGTTTGTCTACCAGTAATCCCATTTTTCTTCTGAACAATGTTTGAATTTCTTTTTTTCTTTTTAACAATTCTATTTTTTCCTCTTCAGATCTGATTTGCCATTTTTTAATGTTCAGTCTATACGAAACATGAAGAAAATATTCAAAAAACCGTATGTATGAGTGTAATGGCGATAATCCAAACTCAAAATTTTCTTCATGTGCGGGTTTTTTCAAACATTTTTCTAAATCATTCATTTCGGTTGGTTTCGCCTCGCATATGTAACATTTTGCAGAAGATGTTTGACTTAGAGCATTGCATACTTTACCATCAACCATAGTTAATTGTAAGTTGTGCTCAACGGATATTTGCATTTCAGATGTATAATATTCTGTGCAGTTTAACATGGTAATTTGCTGGTTAAAATAATTTCTTTCGTGTATAGAAACTTGGTTGGACTCTTTTTTGTTTTGAAATCGAATCGGTCTGCAATAACGAGTTGATGACGGTCGAGGATTTTTCCAAATAACTTTAGAATTTTGTAATTCAGTAGATTTTGTTACCAGTCGAAGAGGTACATATGATGTTACAAATAAACTACTGTCTTGTACACTGTTATTATTATATTTTTGCTTATACTCGCTATGACCCGTGCTACCATCGAATCCCCATTTACCTATCAAAACAAGTTTGTTTACAGATTCACTGGGAATATCTTTCAGCACGTCGCTTTGGAGATCTAATATGCGTGAGGCCGTGTGGTCTAGTAAACTTTGCAAGTCGACTTCAGCATGCGATTCACTTACTGTAATTTTATTGGGATAACTTTTCTTTTTTTCCTTTAGAACCTTCTTATAACCCGGAAACAAATCAAAGGACAGTTTAGAGTTTATAAATTCGCGAATAAGTAAATACTGATGTTTTGATAAATTTGTTTCCAGTATGACTGATAGAACTTCGCTGGTCTTTAATTCCACATAAGAGTGTTTAGGTACAGAATCTGTCTCACGTAAGGCATTAGCAGCGGACTCATCATTTTCTGCCAATTTTGCCAATCTTCGTTGTTTAGTTCTTTTTGAAGATTGGGAATAATCTGATTGTGGACGCCCACGTTTTTTATTTGAGGATGATTCAGGCGTTGTAGTTGTTATAGAAGCGGCTTCTGTCCTTAATGCAATAACTTCTTTGAAGCCTAACCATTCGGAATGATATTTTAAGACGGATGATTTTTTCCGACCGTTTTTCTGCCATAGTACGACTATTTTCTTACAAATGTAATTTACGGATTGCGATAGATCAAAAAACATATCATCTTCACCTTCCATTTCAATACTTGCACGTAGTTCATCGAACACCTCTCGAACTTTTTCAGACTCCTTCCCCTTTTTAGAACACCAAATTTCAAAAACATACATGCGAGAAAAAATGCATTGATAAGATGAACCTATAGCAAAATGTAAATAAAGAAAATAATAATCGCATTTGACAATAATAACAACACTTTTGCTTGTTTACATTTAACAACAACAGCACGTATCCACCAAAAGTTAAATGTTTACACACGACTCTGAGTTAGTATATTACTGCTTAAACACTCATCCGCAAATTTCCGCAAATGAAACCAATTTTTTCGAAATATAGACAAATGTACCAATATTAAAAACCAAACATGACCGGGGGAATCGGGGGGGAACACATTTAAAACTCTACGTAGATTTAACGAAGACGGAAAAAATAACTCCAAAAAGGCGCATGTTTAAATTAGTATTTTAGAAAAACTACACAATAATTTATAAATGTATATATATGTAAAAATCATGTTAATACCATTAACTTTAACCTCCATAATCGTTATATTTAATTTGGTGAACTTATTATTTATATTTTCACTTTTTAAATGTCACTTAATTTTTGTGCTAACTTTCCTTAAGCAACCACACTTCAACTGCACTCACTTCTAATACCTGTATTTCTAAAGTCCCGTTAGAAAACAACAAAAAAACTTTAGAGTAGTTAAATTTGATGGCATTAGCGACAATTTGTTTCGTTACTGATCCAAAATATTGTTTTCGATTTTTTATTTTTGTCGTATGGAGGTAATTCTTTTTTTGAAGTCACTATAAGCACCACAACGATCACGTACGATCATGTACGTGTAATCGTACTGAGTATGTTTATGATAAAAAAATGTCAAAGTTTCCAATGGAGATACCAGATGGCGTCAGACAACACGAGTGGTCCTCATATTTAAAATATATAAATAACATGTATAACCAGTGAGCGGAGCAGTATAGTCGGACGGGGCCGACCATACGATACCCTACACAACTACCACGGAACTCTGACTCTCTACGAACGTTTATTCCGAGTCTGGGTAATATTTCGTGATATTTGCCCCCTCTTGCCGATTAGAGGTCAACAGCACCTCATCCTTACATTTTCGAATACTCCGTACAGCCCTTCTAAATACTAATCCAGATTCCCTTCACGGTGGGTTGTGTTGTGATGTTCGGATTATATTCGACTTGAAAACACACAAAAAATTAAGTTTTCGGTCCATTTCATCCCAATACTATTATCTGATCATCTCCGAAAATTGTAGGCGTTGTCCTTGACCATAACTGGAACTTCATAGAAATTTTAAAAGCGATCAGCGCGATATTTCCGCCCTCTAATGTGGTAATGGGTTAGTAAATAATATCTGAATACGTAAGCACCTGTAAATATTTGAGTGTAACTCCCAGATCTGAGTAGATACATAACTGTATTTGGTATTAATTTAAAGGCCAACCAATCCTCTTGGATATGCTATCAACTCCTCAGGTCTATATCCTTCAGGAGTAAGTATATAAGCCCCAGAATAAAAATGTTGTAATTTTTCACACAAAAGTCAGGGTTAATTTGACCCGCTAAACATTGACCGATTTTTGTCAAACCAGGCATAGTTATTCTTTGGCCCGATCACCTTCTCCATGCAAAAATTCGCGGTGTTTGGATCATAATTGCGGCCTCTGGAGCGACCAGAAAAACCGACAAAAATAAAGTTGTTGGTCCATTTCATCCCCTAAATATTAACCGATCTTTATTAAAAACAATAGGGGTCTTCATTGGGCAGAGCCCACCCTACATGCAAAATTTCATGAAGATTGGTCCATAACTGTGGCCTGTATCGTGTTTACAAATTATAATGGACAGACGGACGGACGGACACACATGTCTAGATCGACTCAGATAGTCGAGATATGGCGATCGGTATACTTAAAGGTGGGTCTAGGACCAATATTTCGCGGCGTTACAAACTCTTGGAGCTGCACAAAGATATAATACCCTGACAACATAGTTGTGTAGGGTATAATAATGGCGCCCAATCTAATCTCCATTTAGCCACGTCTCTGTGCAATTTTAGTCGTTGTATTTTGTATGCAATTTAATTTAGTACAAATACGTAATGTTTACGATTAATTTTAGAGTAGCGTTTTGTTTTTGTCTAAATATTCATTTTATATATTTTTTTATTTTCAATTCTTTTTTCCTCGCTTTTCTTCGACTATTTTCACACTCATGGGTGCGTGACGTCACTTTGATGTGTTAGCAAATGTGCGTTCTTTGTTGTTGTTGTTTGCAGTTGGTGTTTTGCTTTTTTGATAATCACCATTTCGTCAAGACTGGGATGGATGATTCATCCATAGCAGAACGTTGTTGTTCGTTCATTTTGGCCAGACAGACAATTCTTTCTTCTTCTTCGCCACACATGTGAGCGATCACATCTTCGCAAGGCGCTGTTGATATTGGGTATTTTCACTTTTATTTTCTTGGCAAAAGAGTTGCATTATTTTTTGGTTTTGTTGTTGTTTTTTTTTTTATAGATTTTCTTCAGAGTTTGTTGTATTTTAGTTTTAGTCGTTTTTTAAATTTATTTTTGTTTCGTTTTTTTTTTAACTAAAGCCCAAAGTCTAAATGTGTTTTTAGTTTAGTTTATATTTTTTCTTGGCCATTTCTCAATATTCAGAATAGATTTGTTTTCGTTTGGCTTTTAGACGAAAAGGCTTATGGTCAGATGGTTTTCATTTTCAATTGGATTTTTCTGATTTTTGCCTGGGCGTCACTAAGATGTCATGTTTTGTTGTTCATTATATTAAGATTAGACGTTAAATTTTGTAAAATAAAAAAAATAAATAAACGATGTACACAAAATTATTAGGACCGGAAAAGTCTATAGTAATTATTGCAGGCCCAATATATGGAATACACATTTTGCTGCCATTTTCAATATGAGTACATACATTCAAATGTATATGTGTGTATATATGTTCCTATATCGATCTAGCTGAGTCACTCGTTTTCCAATAGTTTTGTTTTCCACGATTTCTTCTCTATTTAAATTTTCTTAGAAAATCATGACCTTTCACAACATTGCCCTCATGGCAATAAATTGCTAATGAGGAACCGAACGACAATTTAATCGCATGGCAACGAAAAGTTCTCGCATTTTTATTGTGACTCAAATGGTAATGTATCTGAAGTTCCGATTCCATTAATTAAAAATATGATAATTTTAGGAAAATTAGAAAAGTAATAAATTTCAGAAAAATATTTGATGAAACATAAGATAAGTGTTTTTTAAATGGAAATCGTTTAAATAAAATGACAAATTTTGTATTTCTGATGAAAGTGTTTCTTTATTCATGAATAATAATTTATGAATGCTAAGTTTTTATACCCTCCACCACGAAATGCAAAACCTCGAAATATTCATCTGAGACTCCATTAAGTACAAGTATAGTTAATCAGCATAAAATTCTAAGTCGTAAGGGCCGTCTGCCTATTGATATTTCGCCACACGGTGGAGGGCCGAACTTGATGAATTTTTTTTATGTTTATATATAAAGTGGTGCCTCAAAACACTGGAATGAATTATATATTGAATGATTGTACTAATCTATTACAACCATGTCAGAAATCGAATATAAGATCGACATAACTGTATACGTTTGCTGAAGATGCGAAGAGACTGATAAGATAATGGAATAAATGGACAATACCAGGCTCACGACAACAAAGAAGCAGTTATCTGGCTACGGTGAACCGGAAAAAATTGCGCCTTTTCGCTGTTGAAAACCAGAAGGATTATTAGGTCTCCGGAAAAGCTGACGAATGCAAAATTTGCAAAGAAGAAAAAGAGCTGGTACAAAACGTAAGTTGAACCAACCAAAAGCTGAAGGAGTCTACCACGAGAATCCATCAACTGAGGGCGACAAACTGGCTCTGAATCGCTGCTTTGGGCACTTTTGAAAAGAACGGTAATCCCAAACGTGCATGTGTCGAAAGCAGCTGGTGAAGAATGTGCAGGGAGGAAAACGAACATTGGAACATTTTTAATGTCAATCTCCGGATATTGCAAACCTTCGAACCCAATTTTTGGGAAATGCTACTTTTCACGACCTAAATGAAACGAGGGAGTGTGAATGGAAAAGACTGACGACTTCTGAGATTTCTTAGAATTGGACCAGAGAAATGTCTATAAGTTTTTATACCCTACACCACACTGTGGTAAAGGGTCATTTCGGATCATAATTGCGGAAGAAGTCTCCTTCCCATCGCATATAAAGTGCTATCCAGCGTATGGACGACTGAAGCCAATGGTCAGTAACTTAATTGGACCACACCAATGCTACTTCAGGCCTGGCAAATTCACCATTAATCAGATGTTACTCTGCGACAAATCCTGGAAAATATCCATAAAAACACATCGACGCATTCCACCTATTCCTCGATTATAAAGTCGCATTCGAAAGCCCTATCCGTTCATAGCTATTTAAAGGCATGTCTGCATTCGGCATTCCTGCAAAAATAATTTTACTAGTACAATGTCAGCAGTTAAGATCGGAAAGAACCTCTCGGAGCCCTTTAATACCAAACGAGGATTCAGGCAAGGTGACAGTTTGTCGTGTGATCTTTTCAAAATCCTACTGGGAAAGGTGAACAGAAATGGCACTCTGTACGCCAAACAACACATGTTACTCGCCTACGCCGATGACATCAACATAATGGGTCGAACATTGTGAGCGGTAACAGCCACCTTTAAACACATTGAGAAGCATTCTGCCAAAGTGGGTCTGGCAGTAAATGGCGAGAAAACCAAGCTGATGGTATCAACGCGCAAGACGTCCAGTAGATTCGGGCCAACTGTGGAACTTAATAACTATACCATCGAGGCAATCAAAAGGAGATGAGTCAGCTCTTGGAGTGTTTGAGAGAAAAATTCTCCGAGAGATGGGGTCGATCTGCGTTGACGGTGAATATCGCCGTCGAATGAAACATGAGC